GTAGTAGTAGTAGTAGTAGTAGTAGTAGTAGTAGTAGTAGTAGTAGTAGCGTTAGTTATAACAGCAGTCTTCCCGCACCCATCGAGCACGTCCACTACCGCAATCTTAAAAGCCGGGAGATGATCTTTTGTAACTTTGCCTGTCCCCGTGCTTTCGCATCCTATTTTTGGCATATCCGCGGTACTCCCGTTGAAACTTGTTTTCCGCTTTTGACTGATTTTAGGCTGCGAACGAGGAGTTGCTTGCGGCCGCTGAACGGTCTCAAGCGCTTGACAAGGACCTTCAGGTTTGCGTTTCCAAAATCCTCACTACTGGCCGCAAACTAAGCTCCCCCTCGTTGAGTGCCAGTGAGAGTTTCTTCGACATGCCACTCATTTGCTGTCCTGTTGATGAATCCGATCCGGACCGGGATAAGTCCTCTGACCCTGAGTCGGTTATACACACCGCCAACCGACGCCGCTCCTCGAATGCCCAACAGGCTCGCCACTTGGCCCACAATTGCCCACTTTTCGAGGTTCTGCGTGCTCGAGCCACCGAAAGGAACCGAGTGCGAGAACTTCTTGAACGAGTGAGTCAGGATCTGCAATCCAATCTGATGAACCTGGTGCAGCCAGCAGATGCCAAAAGCGCTCAACTCACCCTGCTGGACTCCTTGAACTCAATGACAGTCGAAAAGCAGCAAATGGAGTCTAAAATTCGCTACCTCGAGGTTTGTGGCCTGTATTTTTATCCAGTCAACTGTAAGTTTTCAGTGCGTCAGCCGTTTTATCCTTGTTGGCTCAACCTTTATAACTCGGATTGTAGAGATAAGTGGGAGAGAATGTAAGCAGAAAAGTTGCCTGTGCCTAAAATGTCCTTTTGCACGAGTCCTCTTGCCTTTCTTAGTGTACCTTTCGTCTACCGTCTGCGTTCCATGGGTTTTGCCACGTTGGATATGCAAATTTTAACATCTGGAAGATTTGTTGGTTTCCAATTTAAAAAAATTTGCTTTCAATGAATCTTTTTATCGTCGGATTCACCCATGGAGGTCGGGCACATTATCTTCACTTAGACGCCTTATAACCGCCTGGAAAAACCGTCGGTATCGCACGTGTTAAGTAAACTGTTTTCCTCGGAGACTGCATGCTTGATAGCGTTCAAACCCCCCTCTCAAAATGTTTCTGTGCGCCTTTATTTACCGTCATAGAAATTGGCGAGTACACATGCAGGTACAAGTGACACAGTCACTTAACCCAAGTGGCGGTCGTAACTCCTCTTCATTTAAGGTTTCCTGTTTACCCGAAACAAGATCCAAATAGTTATATCATTGGTCTTTTCTCTGCCTAGTGAACTTGGCGAGGAGACAGTACCTCTTGTGATGTAGTTACGTCGGGGAAAAAACCGGTCAGCTATGAGCCCGCTTCCTCGTCGACATTGGTCGCTCTGTCAAGCGATCTAGCCTACTCGAGGGAAGAAGTGTCCGCCATGTCATTTCGCTCTTACCACTGACATCTTCCCCGTTGGACTGTTGGTGTCCGTTGTCCCTGCTTGCTTGACCCCATTCTTTTCTCTTTCTAGAGCGAGGTCACAAAGAACAGGCTGCTGGCGCGCCACGAGAAGACTGAACGCCTGCGCGAGGCAGACAACGCTCGAGCGCAGCTGCAGAAGTTGCGGCATCATGTGCAGCACATGACTCCCAACAGCCGCCACAATCAAACCCCGCACACTCGGGTGCTGGCGTCTGCAG